AGTAGATCAGCAAGCGAATATATGGAACATTCGATAGTAACAGTATTTTGTCAACACTGGCCCGAATTGACTCAGCACATATCTTCCATTGTCGACTCATTGGCCCAAGCTTCAAACGGGAATTTACTGACCACTTCTGCCCATTAATCTTTCCTGAACCACTACAGCGACTATGAGAGCTATTCCATATGTTCATACATTGTATCATACATACTTGCCATTTTTGAAATAAATAGTATTATCCTTACAGAGAAGCCATTCTTCAATTGGCAACGCATAATCGTTGTTTACTAGAACAAGTATTAACAAGATGCATCCTCGCATGTGAGGTCAACGATCTCGTATTCATACGGCCTCTTACCCGAGCCGAAGATCAGTGCCATTCATTCCACTGGACTCGTGAAGGAGGATACAATATCGACAGGTCGAACAGGTAATGAAACACCCGCATTTATAGCGACTATCGTAGATTCTGAGGTGATTCATGTGACACGTAATGATTTCATCGAATCAGATTCATGATTTTGTCCGCAAAGTCATCTATTAATTCCTTAACTGTGTCTGACGGGGGCATAAATGGTTTCAGACAGTTATCGTCTGACTGATCCTTTAATGGATCTATGTTATTTGGTAAACCAGTTACGGTTAGACCTAGAGTGAGTAGGTCACTCATTCCGACTATGAAGTCGTACTTCTGTGACATCTTAACTATCACAGCTTGGGTAGTGGTATTTCTATCATCGGCCAGGGAGATTTTAACGTCTGCAGCCAGGGTATCACACTTAGTAGTTTTGTCATCTGCTAAGATTAGGTGAGTAGTTTGAGTGCGCCTTTCTATGTCTTTCATTAATGCAAAGCGGTTGAATACACATTAAATTTCTGAACCAGGATCGATCAATGCAATGACTTTATTTTCATTGCAATTTTCAGGTATTATCACACGCTCGTCTAAAGAGTCGTTGTATTTCCTTTGTAACGAATGTACCTGGTAGTACTTTTACTCCAACTTAATGTCGGGATATTTGTCACAAAACTTGCCTCCTCTTCTGGTTCCAGTATAGGTACCTTCTGAGATTCGTCTTTGTTTGCCATAATCTTAACTTATCACTTAAGTCTTTTTCTGCTAAAGAATGATTGTGCTTAGGAAAAATTTCGTGGAAGTTATCCACCTTTACGTTCGAGTAGTCTAAGTAGTTAATACCTTTACTAACTCTAACATGTGTAAGATTCGGTCTATCAAGGCGATATTAACGCCTTAGAGTAAATAAACGCTTAAAATTCGAAGCAAATAAACGAAATGAGTCTTTTGGTAAAGTTAGGTATGCCTCGTGAAAAGAACAATACTATGAGGGATTGTGAGGCTGAGACATTACCTATTTTATCAAGAATTACCAGCCTTCATCAGACTGGCACGTCTGGTTGGCTGAACGGAGTTTAAACTAGGTAACGCTAATAGTCCCTAGAAACCTATATTCGGTTGAGCCATCTCGCTACCAAAGTATTCAGCTATAAATAGGTTTGGAAGTTAACATAGTTCTATTAGTAGAACTAGTCCAAATCATATCTTTGGCATTTTAATCTGGCCTTTTAATGGCCTTATCCAAATATCTGATATGTAAAATGGAAAAGGTATTAATTAATAAAACAGTTAAAACCCATTTAGGAAACCTAAGTTCCTCGCCTATTAAGAGTACGTTTATAGTTTACGTACTGCTTAAGAGTACGTTTATAACATAGAGTCTAATGTGGAGGTCCGGTTATTACACCGGCCGTTAGATCCAAAGATCGTCCTGCAAGAAGTAAGCATTGTGGTGTATGGTAGTAACAGGTAAGTATCAATACATAATTTCATTACTCTATGAACAAAACTTCGGTACACTCTAAGGGTATTAGGTGTGAAACCCGTCGATCTCTCAGAGAAATGTGCTGTTAAAAACGTGTATTCTATATGAGCAAATTAGTTAAAGAAATTGGCTACTACATACAACTTACCATTGTTAATCTTAGCCGTCTCTTGCTTCAATCGGGTCATCATAAAACTAGAACCGTTAAAGTGTTTGAATATACTATCAACCCCGATGAGCCATTTCTTTGCTTCCTGCATGTTCTCACGTGCGTTTTTCAATACAGAATTTGCCAAATCTGGGCAAAGGTTTAGGTGAGGTCGTCTCTTTTTTAATATTTCCGCAGTTCCTACACAATCGGCAGCCGTGTCCATGTTATATACAACGATATCGATTCCATTTCGATCGAGAACATAACCAATTAAATCGGCGTAGACTTGAATACCTTTACTCAAACCACTTGCTTTAAGTGTCGATAGATTGAATATACCATCCGATACTGCACATTTTAGACCTGGCGATAGCACGGAAAAAACCAAGTTACAGTTTCTTTGTTGACAGTCTATATATATATGCGTGTGTGTGTGTATTATATATATATATATTATATTTTATGTATGTATGTATGTATATACATATATACATGTATGTATGTATGTATATTTATATATAT